GAGGCGATAACTGAACTAACGTTAGGACGCCAATCCAGGGCGCCAACATTCGTCCAATAAAGTTTAATAAATACTGATGAAGTGATCCGGGAGTACCATTTCTCACATGTGATCCACTTTTATTTAAACGGCCAGCTTTTCAAGCGAATAGTTCCTCCTACCTTCCCGCGTCAAGGTAACTGTATGATCTTTGACCGAACCCTGAAGCAAAACCTGTGCGCTTTGTGCAAATCAATGATATGTCCTGTTCACAAGGGCATTTTCGTGAGTGGGATTCATCATCGCGAGGTGCACTGCATTAGGCGCCAGTTTCAAAACCTCAGTCGGAATAGTGATACGATGGGTTTCACACTGTACTACTCCCTGAGCACGAAAGCAGTCGAAAATGAAACTGCCACCAACGTTTAACCGACCGTGTATCAAAGTTTCGCAGTTGAATTTGTAAATTGTTGAATCTGTGCACATCGGCTTTCTTGTGCTGTTTGTACAGTATCTCATTCATGCATTACACTATCTTCCCCAAAGGGTTTTGTTACTAATCACTTGTTTCTGGCTGTCTAACATATGGTACTAAACTCGTCAGTAACAGACCAGTAGAAACAGATCGTCCTTGTGTTTCCGGATTTGATCCTGTTGCCCAATGGTTGCTGCAAATAGGTCAACTCGGAAAACCACCCTTGTCCTTGGTAATCGGACAAGAAACACAATGTTGAGCTCTCTCCCGATAAACTAACACTTGCGTTCTTTTAATGCTGCACCGCGATCCTATGTTCATCAGTTCCTTTAGGTTTTTTTCGCCTAACTCTAATCATTATCTGTTCTAAGCCGAAGGAAAAAGACTTGAGTAATTTCCTCCGCGCTGCGTTCTAACGTGCATGTCATTTAATTGTTTTTTGCCAAGCATGATATTCAAAAGTTCCCTCATTCTAATATCAACATTAATATCTGCTCTGGTCAGTTTTATCGATCTGTGTTGTGTTGATAAGCTGACAACATTACGTTTGAAAAAAAGAATAATCACATGCCTTTCCCTTTTCTGCATGATGAACGCTTCCTTGGGTTAGACCCACACGATCGACAAACCCCAATTTCATGACCTAACTGACAGATCAATATTAGGGTAAAATCTAAGTTGGCATTTCACCGTCTATCTGCTCCGAAAAGTCTCACAAACATCTGCATTCCTATTTTTGATTGCAGGAAAAGGTGAATTACTTTAGAGGATATAAGTATCCTAACCCATAGTCCTATTATACAAAATATCGAGAGTTGTATGAAACAGTTGCCTCAAAACCCGTGTTTCAATAATTAAAGATTATACAGAAGGATAAAAGAAGGAATGAATACTTGGCAGTTATCGTGAGCAATGCCAGTGCCAGTGTAGATAAAGGTAGGCGCAATCGCAGCTCCGTGGATCCGTGGAAAATAAGCAATACTAAGGTTGATTCGACAGAGAGAGAGAGGCTACAGCCATAATGTATGCTACATGAATTAGGAGTCGAATCAACGATGAGACAAATAGCTTAAAGTTGAACACAATCAAGAAGAGTCAAGGAAGTGGGCCAGACTTCATTGCAACAACGTGACGTCAACACTGAGGAGAATCAAGGAGAAAACAAAGCGTTTGTCTGGTGTACAAACACCTAGCACGTGAGACAAGGGTCACTGCATATGAATACCAAATAATCGAGCGAGAGAAACGCAAACCCAAGAAGAATACAGAAATATGCAGGACACAGTGGGGACCTTCCAGAATCGAGGGAGAGACATCAAGCAGTACGTAGACGAATAAGTTGAATGACACACGGTTGGATCGACCGCCAGGTGTTACCTGGTCCAAATCAGGCTTTACCAATCAACGAAGGTACCATTTGACCATTTGACGCGAAGATTAGGCTTAAAATAAGTGAGAATGAATCAAAAGGAGATGCATGCATGGGGTTGGAAATAAAGGTCAGAGTGCAATCCATACGTAATGAGAATGGAGCAAAGGAAAGCACAGTATCTTTGCCTTGTCAGGAAGCACGTGGGGAATGCCTTAGATGGCCTCGTGGATTCTGAATGCGATGCATCAGTGGTTGGGGAAAATATGGATCCAGAATAGCAATTGCGGAGGGAGACTAAAAGTAGACGATTTACCAGCATTATTTAGTTTAGTAAAATCAGATTTACCATTCTGAAAGCCTGTCTAGTTAAACAAACTAAAAGTAATTTACGTGAAACATAATCGGCTGTCTGTACAAACGAGCCTATACTGAAACTTTAACACGAATGATTTTCAGATAAGAAATTAATAACTGTTCACAGCTTGCAATCCCGGATTTTTCAGTCCCAGTGCCGAATATCATTTTCAAAAAGCGAAGCAGTCATCACACACACAAAATCGTCCTTTTCCAACCAAGTGGAACCATCCACGGATCATCTCTAATCCGGCAGTCATTCTTAAACAGAAATCGGTAGTAGAAGTTAACTTATTCTACTTCCATTTGAATGGGCTATTTTGGACTAACTTGCTGTCGCTACGCACCAGACGCATAACCAGATTGTCTATAGACAACTTTGTTCTGCATGCATTTTTACGTGTTTTGGTGGAACGCATTTTTCTCCAATTCAATTGAACAGAGAACACGACTAGTCGTGCATGCCTCCCACGGGAGTCGATTACTACTCAACTGTGAACGCCTTCCACATGTATCGGTTACATGCATGCTCACCTACTAACAGCTGTCATGAGTCTGTCTGTACTACTCGTACTTACAGCCCTCTTGTTTAATATATTCCCCGTAATCAATAACCTAAAGAATGAGCGTGAGTAAAAGAGAAAGCACGGATGAATGTACTACTCTATCTCTTATATTCTTCCGTCGATCCCCTTTGGTGGTTGAACGGAACGTGTTTTGTGCTCAATTTAACTGATTCATCTTTGTGCGCTGCGCCCAAACTATTCCATTCATACGACCCAACTACTTCCCTCTCTATTCGACCACCTGCCCCCGTGTGTGCCAACATCACATGACTTCGCAGATGAAGAGCAAACGAAAGCAATTCAGTTGGATCGGCCAGCTAGAGAATTACTGATCTGGTCAATTTTGGTCGGCAAATTACGTATGGCTGAGTTATTTTGGACTATGGAAAAGGTAAGCTGGAAAATGTCTATATATACAGCAATAAGTGTGATGAAAATGAGTGCTATATGGACTACTGTGAAANGGGGGGGGTGGGGGGGTTGAAACGAACAAGTCTCGAATACCCGTTGCGATGACTTCGTATCAGGTGTTGTGCGTTAGATGTGCCTAACCTGTGACAGGTACCTCAGTATTCGGTAGGAGGAAGTAAACGCTTAAAGCATTTGAATGTAACTTGATAACAGTCAGTTTATCTTTTATGCGACAGTTTTAGGCGACAGTTTCATTTCATCTAACTGTGTAGGAGTTTTACAGTTTCCACAATTTACCTTAGCGGTACTAATTTTTCTGTGCTTACATACGATAATTGGCAGTTAGAAAATCTCAGGCGAAAAGTACTACAGCTGCCTTTGAGTGCATCTCTGACTCTCAAGTTCAACGGATCAAACTAGAATAGTTAAAATATCCAGTTTATTTACAAAGCATTTCATGCACTTTTACAACGGTGAGGATAACTCGTTCAGTGCTATCTAGGAAAAGACCATGTCTACAACCAGAAGGGGTCCGGCCTAGTTCTTTGAATGGATCATAAACTTTGGATAAAGGATAGTGAAGGCTACATCAAATAGAAACCATAATCATCAGTATTGAACGGAAGATAGAAATTTCTAACCGAGTTCACGAAAAGGTTAGTGTTGTTGAACATGCCCTGGTCCAAGTCTATTGTAGTTGTCAAGTAGTTTTGAAAGAAGGACGCCAAGGTATTTTGACCAAGTCTGCAATGTCGTTGTTTATTCTCCACCGAAATAGCGAAATGGATCTGGAATAACGACGAAACCTTTTACACTCTTATGACAGTGGTCTATGCTGACCCTAGATTTTTATGTGCGTCCTGCTTAGTGAGATAAAACAATAGAAAATAACGCGCATCAGTATGCTTTACCACACTAACCCATGTGGCCATTGAGAAAAAGAAGCCACTGCGTACCATATACAATAACTAGAACAGAGTTTGCTCTAGGTTTCAAAAGTATGGTGTATCAGCAATGCGGTCTCTAGAGAGAATTCCGCTTAACGCTGACCGCACATGTACGGTTTCGTTTCAGTCTTCAGCTACGTTATTTCTGTATACTGCATTAACATCAAAACAGCAATGGTAGACCAGCGACGTAAAAATAAACCAACTTGTACACTCAGACTCAGCATAACTTTGGTTCTATCTCTCTCGACGTCAGACGTGGTGTTGTAAGGACTGGCCCGACCATTAAAGCATAAAAGCATTTGTAACTGGACGAATTGAACATGAAACTTTGTGCTGCGAAAGGCCTCAGTTCCAGGGAAATTTTGATGAATGCACTTTTCTATTAACTCCATCCAAGGACGTCGATACCCGATGCATATACTTAATGCTCTTGATGAGGTTCGTAGTTCCGTTTGGCGGTAAAACCCGAATGAAAACAATCTTTTTATTCACACAGACTGCGTGAACGGGTAACGGACACCACGCTCCAGTTCATTGATAGTGTTACTAGATCCCGGAAGGTTGTGTTTCAACCTAATGATGATTTTGGTTTGTGTACCTACGAGCGACGAGGTTTGATGGAGTTGCAAGCATACAGTTGCCATCCTGGTTTTATACGGTTTATTCATTCAGAGAAGATATCCAGATTGTCCGGAGGCGGTACATCAGTTCTAGTCTTTGGTAGACGGAGCTGAGTGCTTTTGGATATGTTTATAGGTCGGGGATAGAAGAAAATTATCAGTGTTAACGAGGCCAAGAAGTGATAAAATTAGTCTAAAAACCTATGCGACGAAGCTTAGCAGCGAAGAAAAAGCAGTAGGTGTTAGATGGTTACCATTGTCATTGTAGATAAAAAAAACAATAGTCATTTCAAGAATTACAGTGAAAAATTAAACTTTTATTAGCCAGTAAATAGGGTTCAATTTAGTTTTGCCATGTGCTCGAAATATTACTCATTCTTTCTTTGCATCCGAGTACCATTGTTAAGAGTGCCGATAGGTGTGACATGCACTACCAAAAGTATGTCCACAGTATCATCCGGTTCAAAAGAAAAGGTGTCATCTGAGGGAGCCTCAGCCTCAATGGAATTTACAAGCTAGGATAATGAAGATCTAGACCAAATCCACTCATGCATTGAGTCATGCCAACATTCACACCTCAACATAATAACCGATTTATCGATCAATCTTGACGTCACTCACCTCCTTACCCGATTGGCCGGGGTCAATTATACCAAGTTCATCCATTCACGCCTAAAGCTTACTGCGTCAACGGTCGAGGACATTGTTCCCGGGTTTGGGGCTGAAGAGTTAGTCTCCATCCCACCCAGACCTGCATCCTCGCTTGGCACATCAATTAAAAGCACTTGGCCAATCTGTGTTTTCAAAAGTACTTTTGTATGGTTATGAAGAAGACAGTTCATTCAGGGTGGGTAGGGTTTTGATGGACTCGGTTCAGTTCGGTGATGCATGGCCCCTGAAGCATCAATCATCTTGTAATTCTCCCAGAATGCGATTGGTGGATGAAATTAAGAGTTTTTATGATTTCATCTGAATTTGAAAAGGCACAATGATAATTTCAAGACAGGTTATGCAATTGGGAACCAAAGCATGTGTGCATACAGAAGCATGGGAAGAACCATTGAAGCAGCACCGCCACCGCCACTCTCACTACATAATATAGTTGACAGGGCTAACAAGTCTTCATTCCTTCTTACTTTGTAACTCAATGGGACTTGAAGGGAGACTGGCACACGTAAATAACCAATCTTCAGTTTGGTGATGCTGCGTTACTATAGTTTTTAAACTTGATGTTCAGTTGTTCGCCGAGCTTGGCAGTTGTATTGCAAACGTTTCATGACCAATCGAGGTGACATTCTCAACGTAGTAACCGGATGAGTGCTAACACGTGACCGTTTCCTTATATAGGTCCTTGAGTGAGGTAGAAACGTGGCGTTTTGTGATTGGCTGCTGTTTGTTCGCCCTGTGCCGATAGGAGATGAGGTAGACGAGAGCAGTCTGACGGCCGGTCGTTGATCGATCGGTCCAAGTGTTTCTGTTTTGCGGCTGTGACGTGTGACACGACCCACCTTCTTTGCGTTGATTGGTCCTTTTGTTGCTTGGGCGTGTAGACTTGGTCGATGTCAATGCGTGGGTTGACCGAGTGTTCCGACGAATGCCAAGCAGCCATAAATTCTCTTGTGTCCTTGGTGTGGGCCTGATCTACGACTTTGATATTGTCGAAATCCAAGTTGTCTTTCTCGATCCTCATGAATGTAGATAAATGAGAGCTCATCGTTTCTTTTGACGGCCAGTTTATTTTCGTGCACGCGAGTTGCTATTTTCCTCCTAAGTGGGAACCTGAAAAGTAGCTTTTGTGCGATAGACACAAATATGCATGAACAACCTTTTCGTTCTCAAACCGTTCAACTCCCAATAGCTTGATATAGGGACAATGTGGTATGGTCAAACCGTTCAAATCAAAGTACAGCAGCAAGGCGTGGGGTGGGGGTGGGGGATCAAGGGTTTTACTGGCAAACGTCAATAATGTTCCTTATGTTGTCAAATCAAGTCAAGGTCAAGGAATCGCTTTATAAACCTGGAAAGCTGGATATTCAGCAACCACATAACCACAATGTGTCAACAAAAAGTAAAAAAAGTCAACAAAAAGGTGCATTTGTACAAGACCACGAGGATTTCATTCTGAAACCAAAATAATCACACTTATGCTAGAACATTACGAGCGGGTGATATTGTGGCGTCAACCAGTAGAAGTCAAAAGGCAGAAGTAAATTCTTAGGACGTAAACGGGTTATATAATCAGCGGTAATTAATCCGCCGAACCATTCAAGCCTGATATAGTTCATTTACACTAGTGAATTTTGAAGACTCTAAACGGCTTTTCACGCGCTACGTTGCATCAAATAAGTGGGTTTTAAGTGCCTTGGCTGTTGCATTCGCTCTCAGATGCATGTTTGTGAACCTTTGGTAAATGAAGGTGAAACCCCATTTGGTTTCTACCATATGTACAATCCATATCATTTACGCAACAATCAAACTTAAGATAGTCACGTTCTCTTACTATTAAACTGACGTGTACGAAGATTGTTGATGCGCTCAGACAATCCCCTGTAGTTTGACCAACGTAAATGTTAACAGAGATTCGCTTAGATTCTATACGGGTGTTGTCGAGAGAATGAAGAAAGACAACATAGTTTTTGCGTTTATATCGGACATGTGATGAGTTTGAGACTATACACACCACTGCAAACCGTAGCCCCACATTGGCACCCAAGACTTTATTGAATCTCATTCGGCTACTGAATCTACTTTGAGGTAAAGTGTGATGAGTCAGTTTCAGCTTCAGCTTTTACAACCATTAACCATGAACTTTCTTTCGTCGTTTTTGATTGCCATTGGTTATCCATTTGGATGAGTAGTGCTGTTGGCACTCGTTCCATTCTTTCTATAGAATTGAATGCTTTGGATATAAAGTTCATACAAAACATACTGGTTTAGGCCTCCAAACTTCTTTTTAAAGATACTGAACAGCAACGCGCCTGAGTGAAGCAATAGTAAAGAGAAGCTAAATGGAAAACATTTACGTCAAAAAAAGGTTAGAGGCGTCATCCTCACACCTTCCACCCTCCTTGCGATCATAAATTTATCTCACCTGTTTGATCTCCTCCCCCCTGTATATCCAGATAGTTTTATCAGTTTGCAAACGAAACCCCAAGGGTCATGTCTAACTGTGATCTGTGTTTTCGATTAAAACAATATACATTGATGTCATTTCATGGTAAACAACATGCTTGTTTTACACTCCCAGCCAAATTATAAATGAAGGTTTTACTCCGAATTATAAAATACACCAATCTTCACAGTTCTGCTGCTGAAAGTTTTGCTAACTATGAGGTGTGAATCAGTATTATTCTCTCGTCTCCGATAAACGAAACAGCGCCAGAGAGCTGCTCGTCCTGTTTGGGTCGACC